AACAAGAAATGCAAGACGTAGGAACAAATTCTCAAAACAAAAGCCAAAGAAACAAAAGGCGCTACGCATCGGTCTGTCAGCAGGTAAGGGCAGCCTCTATGCGCATATGCACTGTCTCTATGGACAGCAAAACATTTGTCTTCCACCAAATACACTTGATAGACGCTACAGCGTTTTCTTTTCCGGACACAATGATGAAGGCATTGCTTTGAACACGCCTCATAACACCTAGTTGGCCAAGCAAGCATGACTCCCATGTAGCCTCAGCGCGTTCTTAAACTCGGCTGGCCAATGTCAAGTCTATTTCGCATCAAAATCAAAACACAACGGTACATCTTCCAAGCAAAGGGTGCAAACATGCGTAAACGCCAAACAACACCTTCCCTCCAGCCCCCATCACTTTGTGTATCATTGTAACATAGACATGCGACACTATAAGGCATTATTATCAAGCTAGATTCTATGAGTCTCATACTACCAAGCAACCGTTGGTCTGCTTGCCATACTGCGCAAACACGACTGCGTAACCTCTCTCAGCAAAGAAGGAATGGAGTTTGCCAGCCCACTCCAAGTCCACTTCCTGGAAAAAACGCAGACTGCGCAAGTCCTGTATTCACATGGCCTTTCGCTACAAAATTCTAACCTTAGCTGCCACCGTGGCAGTTCAAGGCTCACAAAGCCTTCCCAAAATCCACATGGCTTTAGACGTGCTATAGTTTGCGCCTAACTACCCGGTTGGCCTGCAAGGCGATGATGCGTTCCTCATCTGCTGCCTTCTGCAGGCGGGCAAAAATTTTCGGCAAACGCACCTCCTTCAGCAAGTCCTCACGGTTGCAAAACTTTGCATACACATGTGAAGCAAATGCAAAGGCTCCGATGCAGCAACTGCCTGGCCTAGTGCCTCATCCATGCTCTATTCTAGTTTCAGGGGGTGGCCCACCTACCAGCTACCCAACATGCTTGGACAAGGTCTTCTTAAGAAAACGCACACCAAAAACAACCTACACGGCGCAAACAACATATGTAAGTGCCTCCGCCTGCAGCCAACGCAACCCTACGCAAAGTATCAAAAAACAGGCTGCGTAGCATTGAAGGAGCTTCCCTTCATCTTGTTTCCACCATTTCAACAAAAACGCTACTCACTTGCCACTTGCCATCCTAGTTGACATAGGCCAATAGATGCGCACTTTGGGTCAAAACCGGGATACCTGGGTCCAAATGAACAGAGGTGGTCAAGCTACATGGGGCTCCAGGTGATATGAAGCGGAATGTTCAGCCAGCCTTCTGATCGCAAGAGGGAAACTGTTGCGGTGATGCCAGCGGTGGGGATAAAATATTGTAGGTGGTCAGCTTGACATCCTTCTCATCACATCGAATGATGAGTGGTGCAGACCTTAGCATTGGGGCAGACAGCCAAAAGCTTGGCTGCAAGGTGGCAAAAATTGAACAAGTGAAGAATGCTTCAAACTTGTCGAATGTTCTATCGATCGTGAAAGGTGCCACCCAACCTTTGGAAGTTTGATTACGTTCTCTTATGGTCGTGAAGAAACTCCAATGGACGTGGCATGCAATGCGAGACAGTCATTTTGAGCTCAACCCAGCCAGTTCTCGTTCAAACCCCCATCAAGAATCTAGAAAAACGGAACAGGCAACTGTCTCCAGTGGTCAATAAACACGACTGAAACGAACCCGAATTCAAAAGTTGAAACAAGGGATATCAAAGGATGATGTTGTTCTCCTGCTCTGCTAGACAGCTGGATGTCAATCCAAGCACAAAAGCAGTTGGAACAGGTCGCTGTTATGGCAAAGAAGCCGAAACACGAAAGCAAAAAAAATCACATTACCTGACCCAGAGGGAGTTGGCGATCAGGGGAATGCCACAAACCCCGGATGTGAAAAGTGTGCTTGGGTTTCTCGATGAGGGCTCAACAAGGCGACTTTGTTGGGCTCAAACACTTCATGAGGCTGTACCAACGACGACCTTGGCCCCAACAATGAACCCATGTATATACATGCAACTCCCGGACTTCTTGTCAACCTCCAGCATGAAGGGATTCTCTGAGCCAATCTGAGGCGCCCAGCACCACCAAACTCACGGACTGAAATCGAACGATGGCCGGATGGTGTCCGCTTCATCATGGTGCGACGGCCATTCCTCAACTTGAAAGTACTTTTGCCCAGATCAATGGTTGCTCCAACAAGCTCCTGATAGCTGACTGGAAGAAGAAAACGGAGGGTTACAAGTTACAATAGCCCAATCGTTCGAGCCACTCCAAGAGGAATGTCCCAGACGCCATTGATCTTGGCCGAACCGCCAATGCCTGAGCATGAAACTGTTGCGCCTGCAGCTGCGACTGGCCTCAAACCATACCTTGCAAGGGCTGTTCTGAGTCGAGCCAATGAACCTGGCCCGACCACGGCTTCTTCTGCAGCTGTGTCAATGATTGCTTCGTGAGCATCAGTTCGCGCTCCTGCAAAGGCGGTGTTTGTGTGTTGTAACTGCTCTGAACCATTCACAAGCACGCTAGCACCACTGCAACAACGTTGTTCAACCAATGTTGTATTGCGTTGCAATGTCTCAACAGGTTGCAATGTGCCACTTGTTTAGCTGCTAGCTGACGGCGTTCCTGTAGAAGGCAACGCTCGATTGATTGGGCCCCTTGATCCTTGAGCGACAAAGAAACTCTGCTGTTCACGGTGAGGGCAATCTCAAGACATGTGACCAAGTTCATCGCATCGAAAACAACGGGTCTTCGCCATCAGTTCCTTCAGAGTGCCACCAGATTTGGTCTTCGATTCTCCAGCTTTGAATCGAGAAGTCGAGAACCTTTGCCTTCTGATTTGCCTCCGCCTTTCTTGTTCTTGGTGTCCTTGGGCTTGAAGAAATGTCGGCCCTTCTTCTTGGCCTGGAGCTCCTTTCGAACATCTTTGTATGCTGAATTGTCAGCCCATATGTATTGGGCCTCCTCTTCAGAAAGCTCGCGGCCTGGCTCAAATAGTAAGTAGGTGAGATTTTCGTCATCGTCTGACTCAGGGCACTCGTCCTCCTCGATGAGCTCCTCCTCTTCTTCCTCATGCTGCAATTCAGCTTCAGCGGATGGGCCACTGTTACGTGACATCATGTAACTCTGGCTCACACGTCCAACCAACGCTTCAGGTCTGTCCAGTGGTGGACGTGCTCTAGCTATCTGGTCAAGTGTGAGCAATGTATTGTAACGAATGGCAAGGTTCTCCCTTTGCTGTTCTGTCAAATTTGCACCTCAAAGCAACACTCTTCCAGCGATCTTTGGAGGAACACGTTCTCCAATCTGTGCATCCAGCTCGTGCAATGCGATCTCCTTTGCAGCGATGTAGGTGCTAAAGTTCTCATCCTGAGCACGCGGCACACCGTAAAAGCAATGATCAGCAGCTGCAGGACCAATTGCTTCAAGGTATGGACCATATTTGCTGATGATCTCTGCAAGAATTGCTCCACAACCATTGTCCGACAAAAGTGTTGCCAAATCAACTGTTTCTGCAATCTTTCTTGGAGCACTTCCTTCAGGAAATGACTGAAGCAACTTGATTCCCCATCGGCCTTTCGGAAGGTGATTGTCCAACTCCCAATGCAGGCCTCTAGGTCTCAACTCCGCCACTCCATTGTGGCAGCCCCTCCGGTCTCCACTGAGGTTGCGATGGAGCTCCGAGGCCAAGCCCAGGTCCTTGCAATGACGAAGCCGTGGATTGACTTGCTGTGTAGCATAGGGGGTTGCGCTCCTCTATAGGAACCCCGAGGATCAACCACAATGCCATGCCATGGATCCATTGCGACCGCTGAACCTCCGCAAAGCTCCGCTACCACTGTCAAACAACGACAATGGAAACGGAGATGCGGGGCAGCTCAACCAACTACGAACAAAGCTGCAAATCTAAGGGGTCCTACACCGATGCACGGCGCGATCGGTCGCAACGCGCTGTTTCATCTGCGAGACTCAAGGCCTGCGGTAAGCGGCCATCGACGGGCTGAAGGAAAGGACATGACATCAGTCTGATGTTCGTTTCATGGTTTCACACTAAGACACAGTCCCGCAATTGCAGGAACTAACTTGCAAGCGAATCGGACTTCCTCAGAGAACAACAACAGCAAGAGCTGGTTAAAGCAATGTGGCAGTATCCTTAGGTACACGTTTTGTGATTTTTACAAACAACATGATGGTGCACAAGACCATACAAGAGCAAGATTCGGCCCAAGCTCTTGCTGATCCAAAAAATCTGCAGTACATGTCTCCGCGCGGTGCAACGCTTTGTTGGCTTTCGCTGTTTCTCGGTCGCTGCTTAAGGCCGACAAGCCAGTTCTGTATTGTTTTGTCTGCTTGGTTTTGCCTGCTCATGTAAAAGAACTTGCCGGAATTTATCGCCCCTACTGTTCCTGCTTGTTCTCACGTGATCATGGACACGGTCTCCCTGGGAGCCAAGGCTGCAGAAGCTCAGAATGTCCACACCTATGCACTTCAAAATGAAGGGAAAGAAATAAAAGATAAGAAACAGTAATGACTAGTAATGACTAATATTTTAGGGCCTGTTTAATAAGGCTCCTTTGAAGGGGCCTTATCAAAAAGGTCCGTTTTTCTTCTGCATCTTGAGGCTGAGGTACCATGCAGGATCACAGCCAGCAGCAAAACGGGAGAGCACGGAGCATCAACTAATCCAGGTGATATTTGTGAATGGAAGCAAACTCACAATCAGGGGGTTCCCCAGAGTTACGAGCGATCGCGAAACGGACAAGGAAGAACCAGATAGGGACAGGATTGACGAAAGTGACAGAGCCACAGAATCCGCTAAACCTTCCTAGGCCGAACTCCTGCAAAGAAGAGATGTGCTTAGCACTGAGAACGTTAATGCCTTGCAACTTCCAAATCCATCCAAGGGCAGATCTAAACCATCCAAGGGCGTTCTTAAATGCTCTTTTTATCTCTTCTTGGTTTTTGGATGTCCGTGGTTGGTCTTTGCGCATCAAGCTCCTGGGCCCTCTGAACCAGCAACTCCAACTCTTCCTTCTTTTGTCTATCCTCTTCAGACAACTCCTGCAGGTTTGTCTAACATGCCAGGCAGGCTTGACAAAGTGGAAAACGGTCGCAGTGATGCTGAAAACTTGGGAGTCAGACTTCTCATGCAGTTGCTTCAATGTAAGAGGACAATCTTTTCGCGTGACTGCCCGGCCCGAGTTTCCGCTGGTGTCTCTCACGCATCTTTATCAGGATACGCAGAAACTTAAGGCCAATCATTTTTGGCGCACGACTCCGATGTCCAGTTGTCCTCTTGCTTCTCTTTGGCATTTTTTTTCTTTGCATCCTTCTTGGCCTTTCGCTGTCGCATCAATCTAGAACACTTAAGAATGCAACTTGGCTGCCAGTGCAAAGTCCTGTGCCCCCCAATAAAAAAGTCCTGAGGTCAAAAGTCCTGAGGTACTTTTGACTATCGCCATTCCTTTTCCCCTCTGTCTCTCTCTCTCTCTCTCCCTCTCTTTCTGTGGTGGCCTGGTCTGTGGGCTCTCCCCCTTTGCTTGGCACAGCAAGGGCAACTGCCTCAGAACCAAAGGCTACGCCGCAAACATGCAACAAACAAACTGAGGCATACTGCCTAGTTTCGAAATGCTTTCCAACGGTAACTCTTGAAACACTGACACATCTCTAGTCTCAATGCTGTATGGCATGCCCTTCTGCACTTCTTGAGTCTGATAAACACCGCTTTCTGCACTTGGCTCACATGTTGCCTTCCGTTGCGTACAGCAACAACTGTTTTGGCAACGGAGTCCCCAGCATCCTTTTCGCTTTTGCCATTTGCCATCGCTTGCCCTCCTTGAGGCTTGGAAAGTCACTAGGTAAGGGAAAAACTGAAAAAACTGGACACATCTGAAAGCTAGGTTTGCTGCCCTTTGCCGCGCCGCCCAGGCGCTGTGGCGCAAGAGAAGCGCAAGCACAGCGGCCCAGACTCTTGGGGACTTGAATTCAGTGGCTTCAGCCAACGCTGCAGGATCGATCAAACAGTAAACCGAACAAAGGCCTTCACGTCTTCCTTTTGTAGGTTCGCCGTAGCGTTGCTCATGAAAAGACCTTAAAGTATTTAAAGGTCATATTTGTATCGCTCAAGCATCCATAAATGGCAGGGACAAGCGGAGGTGGAGCGAAGCTTTCCAAGCGTTTCATGTGGTGTCGTCAATGTAATGTACTGTGAGGTGTTGCACTTTGTTGTGATTCGCGGCAACACAACAGCCAGCGTGACGGTGGCATTTTGGCTTTCCAGAATGGATTGCAACCATGAGTTGCCGTCCCTAGGGCGACTGTCCGGAAAACAATCCTGTTGTACTAACATGCAAGAATTCCTGGTGAGAGTACTTCATGTCATATTAGTCTTTCTTTCAGAATTGCTGCGACACGCACTCTATCGCAAAACACATCTCACTCTGCTCTTTCAACACTTGTATGTGAATTATAATGAATTAGATGCATACCATGATTTGGTCTTTGTGTCTTGCAAGGTGTCCACGAGTCAATACTTTCCTTACTTTACACTGAGTGCTGCACAGCCACAACGATGTAGGGCTGTCAACACTTTGCATTTCAACCCCTTCGTCAGAAGCACAAGCGCGGTTTCTTTTGTCAGGACGTGAGACACATCCATCTGCCTGGCAGTATTTGTTGCAAAGACTTTCCAAACCACAGTCGTGTTCATACTATTATGCAGGATAAACCGACTCATAGCTGGCACAGCTGCTGAAAAGTGTGGCATTCACGAATCGGCTGCCAAGGTGCTCGCAGGATTTCTCAGGCATGTGGGCTGAAACCCAAATCATCACTGTCCTGGGACGGCTGTTGGTGAGGACAGGTATGCACTTGCCTGTGCCCACACCACGGTAAACGTTTTCCACTTAAGTACTTGTAGCAGTGATCCTCCCGCTATATATAAAGCACTATGAATCGTTGCCCTGAACATGCCAGATTGCCTATTTCTTCAACCATCCCAGAAAAGAGAGTTTAGGGATGTTTAGGGATGAAGGCTTCAATATCAACTCCAAAGCCCATTCCAGCTGACTGACAAAACAAGCTGGTGTGCGCATTTGATGTTGTACTCTCTTTTTGCAAGCAGCAAGTTTTCGGATGGACAAATTTGCGACATCTGCAAAACACAAGGATGCACCACATGGTGGTCTAGATATGTCAAGATCACTTCTGGTCAAAATAACCTTTCAGTGGTGTTCAGTCTTTTCTAGGTCGACGTCGATGTCGATGCCTTTGGTCTTTGATGTCGACGTCGATGGATTGTCAGTTTCGACATTGTCCTCCTCAAGTGCTTCAACGTAAGCATCAACAAATGCATCCAGTTCATCAGGCTCGTCTGACTTGGTCTTCTTCTCGTCCTTCTCCCCAAGTTCTGCAAATTCACCAGCTCGCATCCGAGCTTGAAACACCCGGTATAAGGAGGTTGACCGTGGTTGGCCATCCTCAAATCTCTGGGTCTTGAGGCTAGCAACCCAGGATAGGGCCCCTGCAATGCAGGACAAAACAAATATGATTGAGAAAGCCAGGGACAAATCCGGAAGGCTAGCCTCTTCACTCTGAGCCCTTGCTGGAGTAGCCCAAACAAAAGTGCTTGGCAAAACCAAACTTGGGATATGCGCCTTGGGGTTCGTGGTTGTGACTCCAAGGAAGCAGTTCTCAAGCAATGTGAAGGAAAACACACAAAGCAACAGCTTTCCCAAACGCGACCTCATGCTGCAAAAGGCTGTGACTCCATCGAACGCTATGTCTATGTATGCACATGATTGAGCATTCCACGCGATAGTTGCAGCAGGTCCAATGTATTTAGCAATAGTTCTTACAGTTATGATCCAAATGTATGAAATGGAATACTGTCCAATGTAGTAGAAAAAGATTTCAATGGTTTTATGGGTCTCGCCATACACTAAGTTGGAATGGCCCACAGTGTAAATTGAAAGCAAGTGAATGTTTGACCGGACTGCTTGAGCCAATCGAGCCCAACTAGTGTATTCTGAGACATCCTGACAATTGGTAAATGTAGACTGGTGAGATGGGATGTCCACAGCTGAGTCAGTCCTCTTCCACACGGGACACTTGTAAACCTGGGATGCGTTCATAGTCCAAAGCAGTTGGAGCACGTCGAGCTACCTGGATGCACCGGCACCAGTGGATCACATCGGAAGTGCTATGGTGATGTGGTCACCACATCCAGCTAGGATCAAGTCATTTAAAATCCTTCAAGCTGGACTATGCCTATGCTGTCGTTGTGTTTTTTCATGCGTAAACTCAGGTCACTGCAGCTCGAGGAACCACATAGCTCTGCATGAACAAACATAGGAACATCCCCTCGGCAATGATGGCAGTGGCATCACATTGGGCATGACAGGCATAAAACAACTACACTACAATAGACTGGTTTCCAAGGGGCAGGCTACAAAAGTAATGCCCAAAGCTAGAAGTAGCCACGTAGCGGAGACTGTGTCCTGGATTTTTGGTGGGCAAGCAGCAAGCGCACATCAATTCAATCTGGAGTGAAATGATGCATCCATTTGAGCACTTTGTTCACACAACTTCGAATCATATTGCATTTTGGGTGGGCCCCGAGTGGAGGCCCTGGCTACTGACTAGAGCATCCGTACGAGACAATTAGTGGTACTGCGGGAGGTGTACACAGTATCCTGACCGCAAATTTGGGTATCAAAAGTCTTTTGCATTTCAAATCCCAGCACTTTATCCTATGATATGGATTTGCATGTCCGAAAATGTAGCGCCAGGCCCGTTTGCTGGCGAAGCATGCAGCGCGGAGTCTCTTGCCGGAGACAGCAGGCAAGTCTCTAGCCCCTAGCATGCTCTGGCTGTCTATCACAATGCTGATGCCACTGCCATTCGCGAACATAGATGAACATGGTGTATGTTTGCTGGATTCTCCACCATGTGAGTGCATGCTGGAGGGTCACCTGTCCTTCACCAACTTCCACATCACTGTGAGGTGACGAGTGAGGTAAGAGGTGAGGTGATGTGTGGTCTGAAGGAACGTAAGGGTATGATCTCCAAAGCAACATGACCTGAAGGACTGAAGGACTTCTTCTCGAACATCGGAAAGCCAATTACAGTCCGATTCCACCAAACGCCCACCCGATCCCACCCGCAGAACATCATCTCCAGAGCAACATGACAAAGAGGGGCATATGATGATAACCACAAACAATAAGGATGTGAGAACAACGATCACACTGTGATGGTGATGAAGAACGTTTGTGAAGATAATGATCAACAGAACACATCAAGTCACAGCGCATGAACAAGCCTGAAAGTGGTGTTTGGTTATCACTGTGGCAAAACAATAAATCACACTTACAATAGAGACATATCTTATTTTGTTCTTAAGATCAGATCTCTGAATTCAATTTAACGAAGTGGAAACCACATATTGTTTCTAGTTTCTGGAATAGTTATGTTGAATGGAAAGCACAGTATTGGCCCCGTGCCTCTATCATCGTGTCCTGTTGCATGTGTTTGTGACATTGTTCTATATAGATGTTGGAGATAGAGATGAGAGCCAACTCATGCCCCAGTTGCTGTTCAGTGCAGGGTTCATGCGCGATTCCACTCAAATCAGGTAAAGGATGTGAGGAAAATGGTACATGGCACCGCTTGGTATTGCATCCAAAGCCGGCGCTCTCGCATGCGGACGGTGGTGTCCTGGCTCAAGTCGCCTGAGAAAGTCCCAACACAGGACACGATGAATCTCTTCATGTTTCTTGTACGCTGGCTCCACTCATGTGTACATATCTTTCATATCATGGAACGATCAAAAGTCAGCTGAAACCATTGGTTAGGTGCCAGCAAAAACAAGAAGCACACTTATACTGAATAGATTGAATATAATTAGTCATAACATAGTCAACAAGGTTCACAAGGGGTGTTAGTGGATTGTTAAACTGAGCCTGGCAGAGACGAAGACTCCATCAGCTTCTCTTGTCCCAGGCTGAAAGGCCTCAAAAGGAAGAACCAAAATGGACGTTGGTGGTGCGAACTGACTATGAGCCCATAGCAATCGAGTTGTGCCCGATGCGATTTGGAAGAAAGGCCTGGTTTTCTCAAGCTCAGAAAGAAATTGAACATGTCGGGAAGCAGCAAGAACATCTTGTCAAGGGTTCACATCGCTGAAGTGCGCTAAAATGCAGCAACATTCGTTCAAGAAAGCGTGAGGCGTCCACGCAGTGGTTGCAAACCCTGTAGTTGCTGGAATCCTTTCACTTGCACCAGTTTCAAAACACCACAAAAAAAAAACTGGATCTGGGACAAAATGGAACCAGTCCTTGTCTGGGCAACGCCGGGCACCTTCAGAAAAGTTGCAAAGCAGCCTTTTCGGTTTATTCCTGGTTTCCTGCATTTGGTCCAGAAAAGTTTTTAGTTCGGGTCTGTGTGTGCAAAGCGCTGTCTAACATTCAAATAAAAGATGGACACACATTGAAATAGGATGACAATTCAATCGCTCAATCGCTACACATCTTGTAGAGGCAAACGGCAGAACAACCTGGTTTTGAGCTAGCACTAGCCCTGTACCTGAATCTGGAATCCAATGAGCATGCAGACGAGTGTTGCACAGGCACGTGTGTCTGTTCCATGTTATAAGGAGGCAGGTGAACTTAAATGGCATGCGATGCCATTGGCGTGGCCTCTGCAATTGGCTCAGCTGTTGTGAAGCCTGTGTGCCACAGATTGTTTCTGCTGTCTGACTCTCAGGTACGTGTCCATTGTCTCTGGTGCTAGACATTGTCCTTGAACTCCTAGAGCAGCTGCGCA